CCAGTAGAAACGGGAACGGACTAAGTCTATAGTTCTGTCAATTCCCATATGACCCATTTGGTTATGCAGTTGGTGCAGCACAACAGCTCGATACCCCTCAGGTAATACTAGTTGGTACTTTGTTTCACTTCCCACTTGTCTCCTCCTAACGAGAAGGTTGTTTTGGAGCTCCATTTTATTTACTTCTCGGAGTAGAAGGGGCAGTTCAGCAAGTTCTTCCTTCACCGATGGTGATGGTGATTCTCCTCGTTCCAGCTGAGCTATGACATGGCGGATAACAGGGTCGTCACGCTGCTTAGCTGCAATGTCATCTGCTGAGAATCGAGGAAGTGAAGGGGAGCTGAACTGTTCATCATCAGTAAAGCTGTCAGGTAGGCTGTTGACATGAGTGGTCATAGACAACACCAGAGCGTGGTCAAGATGTGCACCTGGGCTATACACCAGGTGACGGGCACAAACTGCTTCGATGGTGTGCTGATCAATGGAAACATAATCTGGTTCGTTGAGGTGATGCTGAACGAACTTCAGGACTCGTTCATGTTCCTTCCAGGAGGTAGGATCACCAGACAGCTCACCATGAGGTCGTCGAGACAATCCATCAGCATCCATGTTCTGCTTTCCGGCTCTGTAGATGATCTTGAATGTGAATGTTGACAAAGCTGAAAGCCATCTGTAACCGGTAGCATCAAGTTTTGCTGAGGATAACAGGTAAGTCAGTGGATTGCTGTCTGTGACAACTGTGAACTGAGCACCATAAAGATAATCATTGAATTTCTCTGTCACTGCCCATTTCAGAGCGAGAAATTCCAATTTGTGAGCTGGATACTTGGATTCACTCCGCGAGAGACCTCTGCTGGCATATGCCACAACTCTGTTCTTTTCGCCCTGCTCCTGATACAACACCGCACCAAGACCGGTAGAACTGGCATCGGTGTGGAGTATGTAGGGTTTTTGTGGATCAGCAAATGCCAATACAGGGGCAGAGACTAATCTTTCGATTATGGTTTCAAAAACCTTCTCACACACTGGAGTCCATCGTCCTCCAAATGGTGCCTTGGGGTTCAGGTAATTCTCTGGCCTTACCGCTGGCTTCAGTCTCTTCTGAGATGGCGGATAACCAGCAGTCAGGTCATGCAATGGCTTAACTATGGCTGAATATCCTTGGACGAAACGGCGGTAATATCCAGAGAAACCGAGAAAAGACCTTAGCTCTTTTAGGTTTTTGGGCACTGGCCAGGAGGTAAGTGTTTTGATCTTATCTGGATCTGTCTCAACACCATTCTGGGACACAACATGCCCCAGATACTTCACAGATGTTTGGAAAAACACACACTTCTCAACTGACAGCTTCAACCCAAAATCCTTAAGTTTGTTGAGAACTTTCATCAGGCGCTCTTCATGTTCTTCCAAGGTAGGTGCAAAAACGATAAAATCATCGATGAAAACCAAAACTTCTTTTAAATTTAAGTCTCCCATGCATTTTTCCATCAACCTTTGGAATGTACTTGGGGCATTGGTGACCCCTTGCGGCATGCGGTTGAATTCCCAAAACCCCAATGGACATACAAAGGCAGTTTTGGATTTATCCTTTTCCTCCATTTCAATCTGGTAATAGCCCGACTTAAGGTCTAACACAGTGAACCACTTTGATCCAGAAAGGGCAGAAAATGTATCTTCAAGCTTGGGTAGAGCATAGGCATCCTTTATTGTTTGAAGATTTAGCTTCCTATAGTCTATACAGAGGCGTACACTGCCGTTCTTCTTGCGTACAACCACAATTGGAGAAGCAAATGGTGAATCAGACTCGCGTATTACTCCGGAATCAGAAAGCTCTTGCAAATGCTTTCTTACAGCATCAATATCCTGAGGGTGGATTGGTCTTGGCCTTTGTTTGAAAGGAGTGGGATCAGACAACTTGATTTGATGTTTAACTTTGTCTGTCCGGCCGAAGTCCAGCTTGTGCTTTGCAAACACCTCAGGAATACTGTTGAGTTTCTGGATGATTCGCTGCTTCCATTCTGGAGATAAAGGTGAGTCTCCAAAGTTGTATTGTGGTTGAGATGGTTGTAGGGACTCTGTAGACTGGGTTGAATTGTGGACTGTTTGCTCTTGTGAGATCACACTCTGTAAAGTGCTGATTTCTGCTATGACTGCTCGTGCTGGAATATGAATCTCATGGTTCGACTCATTGCTCACAACGACTGGCACATGACACGGCCGGTGTTGAGGCAAGTCAATGAGGCAGGTTTTTACCATGAGCCCACCAGGGAGGGCATAGGAACTCGGATGTTCCAGGAGGACTTGTTTTTCTCCTTGCCACAATCTTGAAGCTAAGCACCCTTCTACAACTGTGGTCTGCCCAGCAGTAATGATTTGGGGCTGACTAGACTGCAGGGTGACAGTTGCAGTAAGTTCATTCGAACTCTGGGCATAGCGGTGTTGGAGGATCTTATACACCGCTATATAACCAGAGACTGTAGGTTGAAATGACTCGTCAGGGTGAGTGTCAAAATGTTTGCTGTAAGCAACATCTAAGGTATTTGTGCCAATGAGAACCAGATGTTGAGATGGCTTATTATCAGGCACAACAAGAGCAAGTGTGTCAACTTCAACAGGTAAACCAAACAATTCAGGTGGGAAGGTCATGTTGATCTCTACATATCCCAGGTAAGGCACTGTTTGTCCATTTGCTCCTTCTATTTCCAACAGGTTGTTTATTGGTTTGATTTCATGGTCCCTGAGGTAAGTATTGTAGAAAGAGTAGGGGATAGTAGTAACCTGTGAGCCAGAATCAAGGAGGCAGTTAAGCTGATCTCCTTTTATCTGAACTTGGCATATGCTCTTTGTGCCGATAAGACCTTGTGGCAGTGTTCTTATCCTGCGTTCTTTGGGACTGTTCATATACACAGCTTCTGTGTGTCCCACTACAGGAGCTGTTTCTAGTTTAAAGATTTTGAATTTTTGGCATCCCATGCTTGTTGCTTCTGGCGTAACAGTTTCTTTTTCTGCTCAACCAGACTGGGGTTTGCTTTATTTGTGCAGGAGGAGGAAAGATGGCTGTCTTCTCCACAATTAAAACAATACCAAGGCTTGGGCTTGGTTCGTACCTGAGGTGAAGAGTAGGACTTGTTCTGTCTTGACATGGACTTGAATTCAGCTGGACTCTTCCTGGACAGAAGTTGGGACATTTGCTGCTGTAGTTTCTGAAGCTGTTTTTTCATTTCTTTCAGCTCTTCATTGGATGTAGAATGTCCACAAGAACAGGCACTTTGGGACTGGATGTTAACTTTCTGTTTGGACGTTCCAATGTGCTTTTTCATAAGTGACTCTTTAGCATGTTGCCTATCTTCTTCTGTCCTGAGTAACAACAACAGATCAGAAAAAGCTGGTGGGTTGTCTTTCTTTTGTTCCAGCTGTAACTTTGTGATGACAGTGTTATCCCAACACCCACGACAAAACTGTTTGAGTAAATGTTTATTAATGTCAGCAGGTGAAATTCCTCCTTGCTTCACAACAGTGTTGAGAGTGAGCAGAAGTCTTTGAAGGTAAGTGGACGGTCGTTCCCCTGGATTCTGCAGAATGTTTAAGTTTTGTGCATACAATTCTTCACCGTCCTGCACTGTTCCAAAGGCAGAATCTAGTATGTTTAGCAAAACTGTTGGTACTGTGTTGGGGCTCAAACCTTTGACCAAATCAGCTGCAGGTGATGACAAGCTCTCTGTGATTCGTCTAGTGATATGTAGCGCAGAGAGACTGGGATCAGCAAGCAGAGACTCAATCTGGGAACGCCAGGACTCAAAATCAGCTTCATTACTCGGTTTAGGAAACCTTCCTGAAAAAGTACGGAGACGAAGTGAGGTTGGACCAGTCAAATCAGTATTTCGAACCACATGTTCAACAACAACCCGTTGTATTTGAGGTGGATTAAGATCATTGGTGGAAAGCGACAGTCCTGGAGCTGGTCCAGTTTGCTTTCGACGAGGTCGTGCTCCATGGCCCGAGGAGGAATGAGCAGGAGGAAGTGAGGATAATGATCCTAAGTCCATTTGCACTGGCTGTGCAGTAGTAAATTTATCCACTTCCCTTTCCTCTTTCACCTTTACTCCGTCCTCTTCCTCATCATCGTCATAGTCATCATCATCATCATCATCATCATCAAAATTTTCATCTGCTCCTGCTGCATGCAGATGTTGGCCTATCTGGCTCATTACTGTCTTCAGAACATTTTCAAAACGATGGCCGCTTTGATCAGCAATTTTCCTGAGCTCAGCGATGTAGTTGGGCTGATGTTTGCTGCTGCTGCCCTCTGTGGCTGCATACTCGAATGCCAAAGCGGTGACACAAAACACTCGGTCAGTATTTGTTTGAGAGGTGTAAGTATAAGGTAGAAGCGGTTGTAGTGCGGAAAAAGCAGCTAAATCTGCAAACTCAACGATCAGGTTTTTAAAAAACGTGCTTGAGGAATCAGTTACATATAAAGTGCGGTTAAGTTTACCGTATCTACTTAAGCAATTAAGTATTTCCTCATCAACCTTGGTATCGGTAGCACCAGTAATCATCACAGACTGTGATACATTTATACCAGATTGCTCAACAATATCCATCATGTTTTTTTTTTTATTAAGTATTCTTTATTTTACCTTTTGAAAAAGTTGAATATTTTACTTAGAATTTCCTATTCCTACAACTGAAATAAATGTTCAAAATGAGAAATAGCCCAAAAAAAAAAAAATGTTCACACACACAAGCTCCTGGCTAGCTCGCCACGTGTAACGCTTATTTAAGGCTAGGCGCCTGACTGCAGCCAGTTATAATAGGCACTCAGATAGGTTCGCCTATGGAGCCCGTGGGTGTGAACAAAATACCATTAGACAAAAGTATGCTTAAATTATTGTATTCAAGTTTGAGTTTTTTTTTATATATATAGGAAGATATGCAATATTAATAATATTTATAATAACAGTGATTTTCTATAATATAACCAAAAACACGACAAGGGGAAAAAAAAAAAGACAAACAACTCAGCAACAAAAACAATAAACCCTTATGTCACCCAAGAGTTTCCTTTTTAGTCCATTCATGAATCTAGAGTGATTCAACGGTTCATCAATCAATGTCTGATTGTTGTAGGGTTTTTCTTGTCCATAACCCAAAGCAAATAAGTTCAGAATGAGAAAGTAACTTGGTTCATGTAAATCCTACCGCGAAGCTGCGGTGATCCGGTAGCTCGCCATCCTGACGTGACACAGGGGGTGAAAAAAACCTGACCTAAACAAGGTCATAAATAAAAATACAAATTAGCTATCATATTTAAACATTGTTCAAATGTTATTCAAAATAAATAAACATTCAACAATTACAACATAAATAAATAACTTCATTTCAATAAGTGTTTCTCATGAATTTAAATTAAAGATCGCGATCAGATTAAAGTTACAGGTACAAATCAAAGTAAAGTTACCGGTACAGATCAAAGTAAAGTTACCGGTACAGATCAAAGTAAAGTGCACTTTTTAAATTCCATCTAGGTTTAATTGACGCAGTCAATTAAACTTAATTGACTTCCATATCATTTCAAAAAAAGAATTGTTTTTTTCCTCTTATTCCTCACAAAAAAAAAAAAATATGTCTAAGCCCAGATTTCTGTAGGCTGTTAGCAAAATTTAATAAAAAGTAACTGAAACCGTCCTAAAAGGATGAATCTACAAAAATCAAAAGGCCTATTTAATATTTTAACAACATATAATCCATTCGGCCACAAAATTAACAAAAGAAAATGACCCTTAAGTCAATAAATATACTTTTCAATCTTTAAATGCACAAATTTAGTGGGCGTGTCGCCACCGCATTTCTATTTCTAAAGAAAAACAAAATACGTAAATTAAACGACTCACCGTCGAGCGGTCGACAGAAAACACTCAGTTAAATCCTTCGGCTGTCTTAGTAAGCCTTGATCCAGCCGTATTCTTCTATTTAGTGATGGGTCGGGCAGCACCGATACGTCGGCGCATGTGTCGGTCTCATAGAGCGAAACCTGTGTCGACGTGTGTATCGCTACGGAAAAGTCACGTGACCGAAACAGTTCCTGTATCGGTCACGTGACCGATGTTTCGAACTGATTGACAAGCCTTTATAAGGAAGCGCATCTGCCAAAACAATCTGGGGGGCAGTAGGTTGGAAAAAGGAGGTGCGGTGCGGAGCGTCGAGGAAGCGTGGTCGAGCTAGTCGCCGAAGAAAACAGATGCCAAGTCCTGTAGCCTACTCAAACGGTGAAATAATTTGGGGGTCCTCGTCGGAAGAAGGAGACGATGACAATGACACTGATCCGAGTCAAAAGCCAGTTTGTGGGATCAAGACGGCGGCTCAAGTTGTAGAGGATGAGGAAGAGCTAGGAAGTGATTCGGATATGGATAGTTGGATGCCAGTTGGTAGTTACCGGAGAAATGGAAAATCCAAAAGTAGTGAAGCGGGCAGAACTTGTGAGAATTCAGGAATCAAAAGAAACCTTGAAGACGAAAGCACAGATGAAGGAAGCAAGGGTGTACGTAAAAAAATCATGAAAGAAGAGGTGAAGATAATATTAAAATTCAGAAAGGAAGATGAAAATATTATTCTGAGCCCAGTAACAGTCTCTAATGAGCTAAAAAAGAAAGTGGGGGAAGTTGAAATGGCTAAAACTCTGAGAGATGGAAACTTGCTAATTGTCTGTAAATCAGAAGAGCATAAAAGGAAAGCAATGAGTGTTGAAAGCATTGGAAAGAAAAGAGTGGAGAGTAAAAGAGTGTTGGGTGAAAAGAAAGATTCCCGAGGAGTTATTTACAGAATTCCGGTTAATGAAGATCTGGAGAGATTAAAGCATAACATCCATAATGTTGAAGTCATTGATATAAAGAGATTGCAGAAAACAGTGAACAATGAGAGAGTTGACAGCTTATCTGTGCTTCTGAAATTTTCTACTCCAGAAATCCCAGAGAGAGTTAAAGTGGGTTTCATGTGCTATCCAGTCAGGCCTTATGTTCCTCCTCCACTTCGGTGTTACAAGTGTCAGAGATATGGTCACATTGCTGCAGTGTGCAGGGGCAAACAGAGATGTTTTAAATGTGGAGGGGAGCACAAAATACAAGAATGTGGTGAAAATACTCAGGTTAAATGCTGTAATTGTGGTGGAGAGCACAGGGCGACATATGGAGGGTGTGAAGTTAGGAAGAAAGCAGTTGAGGTTCAAAAAGTGAAATCAACAAACAATCTGAGTTATGCTGAGGCGTTAAAGAAGGTTCAGGAAAAGCAAAAGGAAACTGTGAGTAACATTCAAGTATTAAGGCGAGAACCAGAGCAGCATGCCAGGGTTTATAACCCTGTTGACTTTGACAAACTTGTTTTGTTTGTGGCTTATGTTATTAACTGCACGGACCAGGTTAAACATAAAAATGAGAACATCAAAATCATTGTTAAAGGAGCTGAGAAATTCTTGGGGATGAGGAATATGTCGTTGGATCAAGTTATACAAAAACTTGAGGCAGATGGCAATAAACCAAAGTAAGAGTGATATAAAAATTGATATGAGTCAAATAGAAGTTAAAAGTTTTTAAAAGAAAGATCCAAGAAGATTGGCAAAAACAGTGGGAAGAAGATTTAAAGGAAGATTACTTTTTCGTTATTTATTGGCTACAGGTTTAGTGAAAAGAATTTAGGTTTTTTCCCCTTTTTTATTTTTTATTTTTTGAGCATGTCTGTCTTGATCCACACTCATTACTGGTTGGTGGCGGTAATGCACCTCTTAATTGTTTGCCAACCGCCATAAAACAAGAAGAAGAAGAAGAAGAAGAAGAAGAAGAAAACAATCTGGGGTGTTTTGCGAATATAAAATTCATCAAAAATTATGGAGCTTCCTCAAGCAAAAAGAAAGGTTTCTGCCTTGTGGGACCACTTTGATGTCATTTCAGAAAATAAGGTATTTGTTTTAATTTCCTTGTTTCATCCTGTTCCTCTCAGAGTTTCCATATTATTTTCTGAGTAGAAATTCATTTCAAAGTGACCTTTAGTTTACTGTTCGTGTTATTTTCTACAGGTTAAATGTCGCAATTGCTCAACAGAGCTTGCATATTTAAATAACAGCACCTCCTCAATGCTGAGGCATTATAGGGACAAGCATGAGAGTGAAATCCATGATACACCCATGATGAACTCAGGTATACAGGTATTTTACAACTTACTGACTTTGTTTTATTGATAATTCTGAATAATTTACACTTTCTCATTTTTAACCATCAAGCTTCCAGGAAGCAGATGCTTGATGAGGCTGTGCTTAATTTCATTGTAAAGGACTGCCAGCCCCTCGCTGTTGTGGAGAATGAAGGGTTCAGGGAGCTGGTTCAGCTCCTTGAGCCCTCATATGTTTTGCCAACCAGAAAGATTTGTGTGGAAATTATCTAAAGTGGTAGTTTATTCATCAAATTTATTTTAAATATATTGATTTTCTTCTGGTTTGACTTGGTGTGGTTTTCAGATCATCAAACAACTGTTGGCCAAAAAGTACGAGGAGGAACGGGAACGAGTGAAAATGGAAGTACAGCAGGCTGCGGACAGAATGTGCCTCAATTGTTGGAAGCTCAAATGAGCCCCAGCCGTGAACATCTTCACAACAGCTGTCTGCCCCCACTTCAGGCATGATATTGAGCATCATTTCTTTGTTGTTTGTAAATCATGTACTAAAATACTTTTTTTTTTTTTTTTAAGATTACCTTTGGGAACATTTTGATCTCGAAGTGGGGAGGCAGACCAAAAGTGCCACAGCTGATGCCATCCTTGAGGTGCAGAGATACATGGCAGAGGGCAATATTGCGAGGTCCCAGGATCCTCTTGTATATTGGAAAAACTAAAGGACCGTTTATCCAAACCTCCTCCGCCTGGCCTTAAAATTTTTGTGCACTCCAGCTTCATCTGTGCCGTGTGAGCGGGTGTTTTCCACAGCTGGAGAACTAATATTAAAAATGCGCAACAGACTGAATTTCAAAACGTTGCAACAACTTTTTTTTTTTGAATAAAAAATTGTAAAAAAAATACCAGTGAACAAGCATCTTCATTTACTACATGTTTACTTAGAGATTATTACATTATGATGCAGGTTCTCATTATTCATTGACTGTGTCTAAAATATCAAATATGTTTTAATAATAATACAATGCATCATACAATGAATTGCATCATATTATTGTATATGATAGGTCATCAAATCAGTGTCAGTTAACTGTGTCAACTAGGTTGCCTGTAGGGATTTTTAATGTCCAGCAGGTGTCAGTATTCAGTGACACAGTATCGACACAGTTTGGTAATGTGTCGAAACGTTTCATGACGCCTCATCAACCCATCACTACTTCTATTAGTTTAGAAGACGCCGAGACGAGCAGCTAGCCACAGCGACAGCAGCAACAGCTATTCAGATCTGAGTCACCTGTGACCCGGAACTTAAAGGGTGCTATCAATTTGACCCGCCAAAATAAAATACGGGTTCTTATTTTATGCAGGTTACATAGAGCCGCAAAATATAACATGACTTTTACTAGAAAACCTTTTTTTCTTTTAATCTTATATAGGAAATTAGTTGTTGGCATCTCAAACAATCAAAAATTCATTTATTTTTAATGTTAAAAAATATAATTTACAAGCTAATTAGGGATGCACGATATTGGGATTTTGGCCGATATCCGATATGCCGATATTTTAAAACTCATGTAGCCGATAACCGATATCGATACCGATGTTAAAGCTGGACAAAAATAAGTAGTCATTGAAAATAGCAGTTTTGTTATCCATTTCTGACACTTTGAAAAATAATATACTCAAATATATTTTCATATGCTGATATCAAATTAATTTTTATTTATTTTTTTTTTTTTATTTATTATTAAAAAAATTAATAAATAAAAAAAGTAAAAAAAATAAAAATAAATCAATAAAAAATATATATATATAAAAAATAAATTAATTAAAAAAAATAAATAAATAAAATTTATTTTTAAAAACACGGTATCGATCTATTTTACTTTCAAAATCTGGTGAAATTTCATCATTCTGTTACAAACTCTCGTGATATTTTGCAAATTCTTGTGAGATTTTGTTAGTAAAATAGATCGATACCGCGTCAATATATCAACATATAAAAATATGGCAACATTTGGTGAATTTTTGGGGGATTTCGTAGCATAACGATGACATATAGCAACATTTCATTAGTAAAAGAGATTGATATGGTGTTTTTAAATGGCAATATATCAGCATATGAAGATTTCAATCTGAAAAACTCACACAGAGAAGAAGATAATTAGAAGAGATTTATTGATGAGAAAGTATAGTCTTTGGCGCTCAGACCTCGGAAGGAACGTACATGCTGAATTATGCTTAACATGCATGAGTAGATGAATGAGAATAGGGAAGTTCCCCCGGCCTGAAACTGGTGGTGGTTCAATATGGGCTGGTTGACAAGGTGATCTGCTGAGCAGAATCGGGACTGGAAGACTGAGGGAGCTGACGCCGGGGCTCCAATCAGAGACTCGGGATATGAGGTCCTGCTTGGTGGTGCAGGTACCGTGAACAGTCCATGATGAGCAAGCATGAAGCGACAGTGGAGAGGAAAAACTCCCCTTTGGGAAGAAACCTCTGGCAGAACCGGGCTCAACATGGTGGTCTTCTGCCGGACCAATGCAGTGAGACGAGGGATGGTGCCAACTGGGATCAATACTCTCTGATGAGGTTAAGGTGGAGACGTGTCGAGGATGACGAACCAGTTGCGATGGCGGAGAAGGGGATGGAGGTGGGAGAATTGTCATCTGAATCAAAATCCGACATAGTGCTGCAGGATAGCGGGACTGGGATGAGACTTTGGAGAGTTTATAAAGTGGAGGCAGAACGCTGATTGGCTTCGTGGAGGAATAGTTCG